GCTTCGTGGGGCGGTGGTAGGAAGACAAGAGAGGTGGTTGTGTCTTTGGCCGCCATCCGGGAAGCCAACGGAACAGGGTGCCGCATATGCTGAGAGCTTCGGTGATGCAGCACATTTGAGGTGCTGGACTTGATTTGCCTGGAGCACCTATGTGCTGTGTTCTTCCGTTGCTTTTGATACATCCTCTGCTCAAATTGATTCCCACATCAACGGATGCTGCTCCAAATATTAAGCAAAAATGACTAATGATCAAACTTGATGAGAGCATCTTTCCACCTTCTCTGAGTTAAACGGGTTGGCACATGAACATTTTGGCAGTAGAAGCTGAAGCCCTTATCTGGTGGTATCTTGATTGTCAATTTTTCTCTCCTCTACTTGCATTTCAATCTTGTTTCTACCATGACTAATATTGTATGACCAAGACCGTGTTTGTCCTTGTAGCAAAGTTGGCGGATTGCAAAATTCCCCAGGGTAGCCAAACCTAAAGGTTCAGCAAAAAAATGAACACATTCAAAGACTGGTGGGCTGGGGCAGCTGGCACTGATCCAGGAAAGCTTTTTTTTTTGAGCCAAGCAGCTGAAAAAAAACACCTTCTGTGTATCATTCTAATTTTTTGTATGACACCCCAAAAGGGATGAGAGTAAAAGGTAAAAGTAGGGTACTGATCATCAGAATGATGTGTTTTGTACAGAGCACCGGGATCGGACAGATATCATGTGATATGTCTCCATTAGTTTCCTCCAAATTCTAGTTCAACTTAGGCCTCAAGACTCCAGCAACACACAAGTCCAATACATAAGAGAACTGTGAGTTCACCATACTATGCCACAGATAATTCAATTGAGCAGATAGAAAGGATGTACCTGGATACCACACTACTTATCAAGGTTTGGCCTTGGCGACCTGATCAGCTGTGAAGAACCTGACAGGACAAAGACCAAACCGAGTGGTTCAATTAATAATTGAACTGGTCATTGATCAAGGGAGTGACAGGTTATCTATTGGAAAGGGCTTCAGGGTATTACATAACCAAGTAGGATATCTCAGGGGGAAGTGATAATTATAAGTATCATGTAAGATCAATAAATAACCTGAAGACACAAGATAATGATGAGAGATAGAGCCACAATGGTTCCACTGGGATGAACCCAAAGGAGGGTCCTATAATCAATAAGGTAGAATCTACTGTACAGGATGTAGATTTTAGTGCTCCAGAGACAGACAAGTGCACAGTGACCCTCTGCAAACACGCAGGGGTCTCAGTAAATTGAACTACTACTTATATGACAGCACAATTGTATAGAACACAGGGGATAGGCTGGCAGGACAAAAGAAACAGCGAGCACGCGATGGAGGAATATACAGAATCACCGAGGTAACAGCTTGCCTTAGCAGCACACAGCTGTTCAGCACATTGTTGGGGCGGTGCGGGTTGTTTCGGTTGTTATTCCAACACAGGAGATTCTACTACCTAGGCTAGGGGTGACAACAAAATATTGTGATCATATCTGTGTTGGATTGATCACCAATGGATGTGTTGATAATGCATTAGCCCACCAACTACTGAAAAAGCCATTGCAATAACTCCAACTTTTTACTGGCAGTAATATGACCGTGTAATGCAATACCCTGGCGAAACTCATTTTCTGACTTTAAGGCAAGAAAATGGCAGCATCGGAGTTTGAACCAAAATAACAGATTACATAAGCAAACCAAACTAAGGAAGTACCTTAACCAGCTAAGCTATAAGGGAGATAGCAATAAGTAAAATGATGGGGATATATCATGTGGGCCCCAAACAGAATAAGCATGTTCCCCCTCTCTGGCCCTGCCTTAAGGGCCTGATTAGGGTTGGCAGTTTAGTGTTAGACGTTAGAGGTTAGAGGTTAGGCCACAGGTACATTCAGTTTTGTGGTTGAGGAGATTTGTCAGCATTTGATGGTTAGGTTGGTTAGGGTTAGGTTAGGGTTAGAAACACCCCCCAAAATACATAATAAGCATAAACAAACAATTTTGAAGACCTAGGGCAGCTTGCCTGCCCTAGGTCTGCCCTAGGTCTGGGTATCAGCAAACCCTGGGTAGGGTAAGGGTGGTACCTTACCCTATTACCCTAGTGTGATGGAGAGCAGTCGGCTAAAAGTCGGCGGCTAGTTCCGGCACACGAGAGTTCAAGTTCAAGGGTTGCTGGGTGGTCGAACCAGCAGGATAAGTGGCGTAAGATGTAAATTGACCAAAGAACTATACTAATGACATTGTGGTTTATATACTGAGTAAGTAGACGGATAGGAGTAATGAATCGGTACCTAATGAGTGATAAAGTAGAGTAATGAGTGATATATGGAAAGGAGGAAAGGAACGTGTGATGGATATGAGACGCATTCAGCGTCGACGATAGTGGGAGAGATGAATAGAAGGGAAGGAGTGTGGAGGGAAATATGAGAAAGGTATATCCGTTACACCTAGCCAGGGTAACAAAAATATATAATATGGTTACAGTCAAACCCCTCAAGACCCATGCACCTCAAAACCCATAACCCCTTAAGACCCATAGATTTTTTGTGTAACCATCGCGGTGGGCAGGCGAAACCCATACATTTGTAGAGATCCATGATCCATGATGATTTCCGGGGGCGGAGACCCATACTATTACTAAAAAAGGAAATTCCGTGATGATCGGACACAATATAAATTTCATTTTTGTGCCTGAAGCATACAGAAAATCATGGAAGGAGGCATCGCGCTCCTCAAAAAAGGCTTTGCTGCCCTCGAAAAACATGTCAGAAAATGCAGGACTGCCCTTGAAGACCGCCTCCAGCACCATGAGGTCCTCAATGACGCTGAAGACGCTTGGCTGGATGGCCCTGCCAATATGGTCGATGAGAGGCGGGCGCTGGAGATCCTTGAAAATGTCTCCGACTACGAGCGCGGCCTCTCCAGGCTCAACCAGGGTCTCCAAGCGGCCGTGCAGCGCATGAAGGAGTTTGCGGCGGGTGTAAAGACCTCTGTCATCACGTCAAAAATGGTGCGGTTGCCAGGTCCCAAAAGAAAAAGTGCGTGCCCGAAATTCTTCCCTTCCACTGCATACTGAGCGCATGAAGGGCCTGACAATAAGCCCGACATCCCACCTGGCAAGACACCAGGAAAAAAGAAGGCTGACCAGCCTGTCTTCACGCATGCTGAGAATGCGACGCTCCAGCAGCGGGTCGAGATTCTCGACTGGCATCATGCCAATGGGGGAAACCAGACGAAGACCGCGAAGCACTTCGCCCCCAAGTACCCCAATCTGCGTCTCAAGCAGCCCAAGATTGCTGACTGGGTGAAGAATGAAGCCCGCTTTCGCCGCGAGCATGCCGAGAGCGTGATGAAGAAGAGCAAGCGGACACGCCAGACCCAGCATCCTGAAGTCACGGAGATGCTGGAGCTGTGGGTGGAGCAGGCCATGCGTGATGGTATCGACGTCAGCGGCGAGGTTTTGCACCAGAAGTGGATCACATTTGCGGACCTTTGTGGCATACCTGAGGAAGATAGGCTGGCACTCAGTGCGGGATGGCTGGGTTGCCTGAAGGACTGACTGGGGCTGTGCGAGTTCAAGCGGCATGGCGAGGCAGTGTCGGCAAGTCCTGAGGCTGTGGCGAACGAGAGGAAGAGGATGCGGGAGTTGATTGAGAAGGGCGGATTTAAGGCGCATGACGTCTACAATATGGACGAGACGGGCCTTTTCTACGGGTGGGTCTGCTTCGAATTCTTATCCAGGCCTTGCTAATGTGCTGCTGGTAGGTTCCCTCCAGATCGTGGGCGGCTGTCGACGAAGGCTCATAACGGTGTGAAGGGAAATAAAGTCCGGCTTACCTACGCTTTCACGGTGAATGCAGACAGCTCCGACAAGCTCGAGGCCTTCATTGGCAAGGCCAAGCAGCCCCGTGCGTTCCAGCGTCGCACTGCACGCGTCCTCAGCTTTTTGTATCGGAACAACACGAAGGCCTGGATGACGACCGTTCTGTATCAAGAGTGGATTACCAATTGGGATGCCGAGCTTCAACTTGCTGGCCGCAACATCCTCCTTATTCAAGACAACTTTGGCGCGCACAAACCCCCTGAAGAGTTGACCAACATCACCGTCGAGAATTTCGAGCCAAATCTAACGTCCCACGTCCAGCCCCTCGACCAAGGGATTATCCGGTGCTTCAAGGCTCATTACTGCTCGCGCTTCATCCAGCGCGCAATTGACAACTACGACAAGGGTGTTACACCCGGCCAGATCTACAACATCAACCAGCTTCAGGGAATGTGCCTTGCGGTGTTGGCGTGGGATGAAGTGAGTCCGACAGTGATGAAGAATTGCTGGATTCACGCCGGCATTCTTCCCGATTCTGTCTGGACATCGACGCGGCCCTCCCCTACCATCCCCATCCCCTCCCTCCTTAATCCCGTTCGCGAAGCCGAGCAGCAGCTTGGTGGCCACCTCGATGCCCTTGAGGAGCACCAGGTCCTCCAGCACATCAACCGCCTGTCAATCAACGATCTCGTGCATGCCGAGAATGAGCGGGACTCGGAGCAGGCAACTGTCAAGGATATCTACGACGCCGTCATCGCTTCTCGCCGCACGCAGGATGTTTCGGATGCTGTGGGTGGTGATGACGACATTGATGACGATGCAGAGCCCATGACTCGCCCCACCCACCGTGAGGCCCTGAGCGCGGCTGCAACACTGCAGAGCTTTGTGACCACACTCGGTGATACATACGCGCGCAAGCTTGATGAGCTCCTCGCTACTTTCGGCCGCCAGACGCAGCTTGAGGCCACAAATGCCATGTCGGATACTTCAATCACTGATTTCTTTACTAGAACCATGTAGATATTGCTACATATGGCGCACATTTTGTATAGTCGCAAAAAATTGATTTTTTTGATTTTTTTTTTGAAAAATTCTATTGACCCATACCCCCTCAAGACCCATACCCTGGCGCTTCCACCGAGGGGTGGGTCTTGAGGGGTTTGACTGTATTTAGCACAATGGTTAGTGTGCATGAATTTAACTGTGCTTTGTAATCTGGTGGTCCTAGGTTCTATCCCTGGACTTGCACTTTTGTCATTTTCTTGCATTAATGTCAAATCCAGCTTTGCCAGGGTATTGCATTACACGGTTATATTACTGGCAGTAAAACCCTGCAGATAATGCAATGGCTTTTTCGGTAATTGCTGCAGCTATTACATTAATGGTACGTGTATATTACACAATTGATGCAGTCTAGATCCAGACATACACTTTACAGCAGTTTTCTGATTAAAGGAGACAGTACAGGGCAGGAGGGTACTCAATTGGGCTGCCGTCAACAGCGATGGTAACCAAGGGAGGCAGGGTTAGACATAAACCAGCAAGAAGGTTGTTTGACATGCAGAGGGGTGGAGATAACAACTGAGGAGGTCCAGACTCTATTCACAAGGATGGACATTTCAGACGAAGTGCAGTGAGATGGTGGGAGGAAATTTTTGACATGGGAGACAGACATTGACAACAGGCCAAATTCAATTGATCAATCCTAAAATGGCAGAAAATAAATAGGTATACAAGGCTGGGCTCAAACCCACACGGAAAATGCAGTTGTTTGTTCAGGATTGCCGTGAGAAAAAGGTGTACTTGAAATAGGGTGGTACAGGACACACTACCTAAAGTTAGCGGGCATTCTCATTATCTATTTGAGCACCAGTGGACACCCTCCTCACAAACAAGAAAAAAATATGTTTGTTTGAATTATCTTAGCTAACCATAGCAGAGAGCAACAAGGAACCAGTATTCTCCCTTTCCCAGTGCAAGGGACTTGAATATTGAATTGAAACTTGAATAGGGCTGTTCACCATGGCCATAGCTATGGTTCAACCACACCCATGCCATGGGTGCCATGCTCGCCCTGTTGAAATTTTTTTCTCAAGACCAATGGCATGATCATGGCACAGCTTTCCACATCCTGGGCGTGCAACAGCTTGATTTTTTCGTGGTGATACAGTGATAATTCTAAGCAGGTAGGGCTCTATGGGTCGGTGAATGCTTGGTGCCGACATATGTGGTACTTGAATCAGTGGAACATTTCGGCCAAGCTGAATCAATCTCAGCACTTGCCAGAGATGTTTGATTTGGAATATGAGAATAGTAGGTTTTGTATTTTGCGCACCTTGGTTCTTAGGGGAGTAGTTCTAGATGGGACTCAAAGTCATTATGTGTCCTATGATGAGGTACTTGAGCTCGGAACCTGTCAGTGCTACCTGCAGATTGCTCTAACAGCAAATCTGTAGCTCTGTGAACAAGACTTCAACAAGCCTTCGTGGTTTTGGCCACAACCGGTCAAATCAATACAAATTCAAATGAAAAAAGCTCCCAGAAAACTTTTCAAACACCCATGTACCTGTTACGGCCGTGCCATTGAGCATCTCATCCTTTTCAATGGTCCCAATGGCCAGTGTTCAACATGGCTGTGTTGTGGAAAACCTGTTGAATCCATGGTGAACAGCTCTAACCTCGAAGTTGGTGTAGAATAATGTGCAACTTCTGCTCTCTGTGAAGTCTGAAGCCGGGCTTGTTCTTGCCCTCACACCTGCAATCGACCCCTCCCAAAACCAGAACACGTGCGTGATCAGCACATGGAACGACGTGTCGTGTCGAAAAAGTTGAACAAGTGAGACAGGAATACGGTCAGAAGGTCAAATTTCATTGGATTTTACAATACCTCTCTCAAATTCAATGGAATAATCCAGTTAGACTGTCTAATCACCACTCAGAGACAACACATAAAGTACTTTAAGTTTCCTGCAACGAAATATAATTTATAAATTGGCAGAACTGTTCATTGTGCAGTCTCGAGCTGGTAGGATAGCTAATAGAGCCATAATGGTTGTTGTATGGCTGATCCCCAAGCCAGAAAATGTGAGGGATTGGCACATATAGTAGATACATAACATACAATGGTGGATGTGGTGGCAAAATATTCCAAGGATTTGAGCATGTAAACAACAACAAGAGAACATATCTGAATCGATCTCGGTACGTACCAGAGCTTACCAGTCACCTGGCTGTCAAAATCCAATCACACCAACAAAAGTGAATGTTCGGCTCGGCTGAACATGTTGCTGAAAATGATGATTTAGGCTTCAAAAAAAAACTGGTTGGAAAATGAACTTGAAGAGCACAAATTCAGCAAAGCTGAGTAAGTGACCCAAATGAAGAGATTCAGCAGTACTTTCTGCTGTGTGGAATGTATGCATTTCAGCAACACATTTTGAATTGTTGAAAGTGAGGCCTGAATCAATGCATCCAGCAGAAAATTCAGCCTGACTGAAAGTAACAATTTGGGTGCTGCTGAAGCTGTAGTGGAAAGAAGTGGCTTGGGCAACACTTTCAGCTATGCCGAAAGAATGTGATACAACGTTGAAACACTGACTACCTGAACTGATGTGAAATGTAGTAAAAGGTCTATCAATGCCTGAGCACTAACAAACACTAAACCAACACTAAACACTAATCCAAACAATCGAGTGGTGCGAGTACGGGGTTCCAACCAAGTATTAGGTTGATATTTGAACTAGATCTGGTAATAGCTATTTACACGTAAATACTGAGAACGCTCCAATAGCCGATCCAGAGACTCTAATGAGGTCTAGACGAAGCAGAGAGTGGTTTTATCTCGATGGGGTGGTGTGGGGTAGTGCTTGGTAGTCAATAGACTCAAGACTTGTGATCCTTCAATGTTCTCAGCTGTAATATCTGTACCAATCTGTGTGCTTTCCCAAATCCTTATGAAACCCAATATGACCCGATACGACCCGATATGAAACTGATATGACCCGATACAATTCTGTTTCCTTAAGATTCCTTATGCGCACATAGATCCAACAACCAACAAATATATTTGACCAAGAATAACAGAAAGAACTAACAAGTTCCCAATGGTACTCCGAATGAATCCAAGGCTTCCCAAGCGACAATACCAGCTGAGCTGAGTACGTCTAGCAAGAAGGGGTGAATTCACTGGCTTTCCACTAGAAACCTGCCAGTATTTATACAGGAATTATACATCACATGATAAAATAAATAAATACTACAACGGATAAACGGACCTGGCTATTTAAAGGTACATGCATCAAAAGATCCGGTCAAACGGTTAAATAAGTGCTCTATCCCGAGAGCCGTGCATCTATCTTTCTGCTTTAAGGTGTTGCCATCATATCTTGATGGACTTGTTATCTTTAGACGTGCCAAGTATAGCGTGTCCGGATAAATTGTAGTAGAGATTGTCCGGGCCAACCAGCTTAGCCTTATAGATAGACTGGCTGTCCTGCATCTCTACCTGATGACACCTTTGTCACCCAACTATTCCCATGGTGCCCTAATTCAACCGAATGGTTGGACTTTGATTTACATGTAAATACAATCTTTGATGATTTACGCGTAAATACACAGCAGGTATTGATCCTGATAGTGTTACTGAATGTCCCTGAACGATTCCTGAACTCTCCAAGGCATCCAGGCTCGTGTGATTAAAGTTACAGTGACTTAATATGTCACAAATGTCGAACTTGTGCTTGCAACTGCACCAACAACTCTGCCAATTTGATTTGACCTGCAATCTGGATCCCTTATGAATTCACAGTCTAGATGGATGGTATGTGTTATGTCCTTGATATATGACACTTTCCAAATGTCCCAATTCAATCGAATGGTTGAACATGGAATTACGTGAAATTCTATTGTAGCCCACCTGGCCGTTGACCCTCGTGGTATCGGTGACCAGGCAAGTCTATACAATGTAATCTCTTGTGAAGTGCCTTTAGCCAACAGTCCGGACCTCACTATGGCTCATTGTGGGCCAAGTAATAAATAAGCATTGTTCTACTTCAGTAAGTAGAACAAGAACATTGAAATTGATAGATTTCAAGTCTGGTCATTTTCCATGCTTATCAACGTGGCCAAAACTGTGGCCAAAAACACTTGTTTCGGGTCCAGCCGAAATAACAGCTGAAAGTTGTTGTTTAGGCAGGAGCCAAAAGTGCAGCTGAAAGTGACACTTTCGGGGCAGCTGAAAATAAGTGGCCGCTGGCGGCAGTTGGCAGCCGCCAACTGTGGCAGTGCAGCGGCCGCTGAGCAGCAATGCAACATACTAATAATTATCCACTCTCTTAGCTGCCCCTGCAATGAAATGAGTGTTTCCAACTTTATATCTATGCACTCATACATCTCAAATCTCCCACTCAATGATAGGTGCCATAAAATTATACTTTTTATAGTATAATTATTGGTATGTTGCATTGCTTCTCAGCGGCCGCTGCACTGCCACAGTTGGCGGCTGCCAACTGCCGCCAGCGGCCACTTATTTTCAGCTGCCCCGAAAGTGTCACTTTCAGCTGCACTTTTGGCTCCTGCCTAAACAACAACTTTCAGCTGTTATTTCGGCTGGACCCGAAACAAGTGTTTTTGGCCACAGTTTCGGCCACGTTGTATCACATTCTTTTGGCATAGCTGAAAGTGTTGCCCAGACCACTTCTTTCCACTACAGCTTCAGCAGCACCCAAATTGTTACTTTCGGTCAGGCTGAATTTTCTGCTGGATGCATTGATTCAGGCCTCACTTTCAACAATCCAAAATGTGTTGCTGAAATGCATACATTCCACACAGCAGAAAGTACTGCTGAATCTCTTCATTTGGGTCACTTACTCAGCTTTGCTGAATTTGTGCTTTTCAAGTTCATTTTCCAACCAGTTTTTTTTGAAGCCTAAATCCTCATTTTCAGCAACATGTTCAGCTGAGCCGAACATTCACTTTTGTCCGTGTGAATGTCAGTGTGCATTGGTGGCATACACAGATTCGGGGCGAATTCCGAAGCCAATTGACCTTCTGGTTTGTGGATATGTGCCACGGCATCCTATGGGAGCATCGGACTACGATGTTACAGGCCATTAAGTGAGAGTCAGAAGGAGTCAGAATCAGCGAGAGTTTGCACGTGAGGAGAAATGCATGTGATCTGGTTTTGGGAGGGGGTCGATTGCCCGGGTCTCTTGCCCTTGTCCACAACACAGGCAGCTTGCCACAGTGCTT